AACCGTTGCCAGAGCTGCTCTGAAAATTAAGCCAGTAACTTCAGCTGCCTTAGCATGGATTAAGGAGCTTGAGTCAAAATGGAGATGTTAACATTGAGGCATTGAATGTTTCTGCCCAAAGAGTTCACATAAGAGATGGGTTTTGTGCAGGTGCTGGGGAAATTGGAGAGGACATCATGATTTTTAAGGCGGATTTACACTATAGACCTTGTGAGTTAAGTGATTTTTCGCCGAGTGTCTTGGCAGTTCACTGACCTGCTGATCAGTGTTTCCTTGGCTCTAGGAACAGATAACGTGGAATACCAGTTTGCTGTCAATAATGATACCACTGAGCTGCAAGTCAAGGACCTAGAACCCAATACCAACTATGTATTCTACGTGGTCGCGTATTCTCAGCTCGGAGCCAGCCGGACATCCTCTTCCATCATTGTTCAGACCCTGGAGGACGGTGCGTTGAATTAGATGAGTACTGGTGCCTAAAAAAAAAAATGTTCTTGGCCTGTTTCATGGTGAGCACTGAATATGCTATGGAGAACAGTATCAGCTCCTAGAAACCTAGAAGCCCTTTTAAAAAAAAAAAAAAACCAAAACCCAAACCAACCAAAACCCAAGCACCCTTGTCTGGTCATCAGCTTAGGTGATGAAGAGCATGAAAATGACCTCACTGACAATGGGGCCCATGAGAATCCTCCGGGAACTGCAGTCAGCTCCTCTTGGCTTTCACCTAGCTCATGTCATATTGCTCCAAACTTGACTCTGGGCCAGACTTGATTTCAGCTCTGAAGAGAGGCATTTATTGCAATTTGTAGGGTTGGGAGCAGCCTTGAGGTTGGATCCCTTAAGAGCCAGTAGTTTGTGTTGATTTTCACCATTTATCATGTAACGTTTTTTGAGCAGTAAAGGCAGAGTGCCAGAAGGACAGCTGCCCAACAGGGGAGGACATGTGCAGCTTTCAACAGACTGCAGGACAGAGGCAAGAAGCGATGGTTTTGGCAGACCTCGTGCAAGCCCCTGCTACGCCGCAGGGTGCATTATGTGCTTTTAATACTCCTGACATAGTGAACTGCGTGGTCCCATGTGTATATGTCTGAAGCCTGAAAAGCTGAGTTGAAAGTATGAAAGCTACCTGCAGCACAGAGCTGTGATTCTCAAGGGAATGGAGATTCCCAGACTGAAGTCTGAATCTATGAGCCAATTCCTTTAGTGTCTACTTTGTGCTCCACAGTACAGTGTAGACAGATTACCTGATCTGTGCTAACCTGCCCAGTTTGTAATGGACATGGGGTCACTTTATATTTTGCTTCCCTAGAGGGTAGCATGGTGTGGCCAGCAGGCTCTGATCAGCCTGTTCAAGCTGAGCAGCCTACCATCTCCTCCTCCCCAGACACCCTGCCCATGATCTGAGCTGCTGAAGAGCTGCGGGGTATTGGTTCCCCCTGTGACAGACAGCTTGTCACCAGTGGCTGCGCAGGGCCAAGACCAGGTAGTGGCCTCCAGCCAACTGAGAGCGCTGGCAGAGATGTATTGAGGTCTTGTCCCAGTCTTTGCTGACTTCCCATTGTTGCTTCTGCCCAGTTCCTAGTGCTGCCCCTCAGCTGTCCCTGTCGAGCATGACTCCTGGTGACATCCGTGTGACATGGCTGCCTCCTCCTCCAGAGCTGAGTAATGGCAGGATAATGAAGTACAAGATTGACTACTGCACCCTCAAGGAAGGTGAGGGAAATGCCTTTGGGGGCGTATGTGTGTCTTCTGCTCCAGTGGTGTTAACAGCAAGGGGAGGAGGTGCAAGGCTGAAAATGGGAGGAGAACAGCCCTCTCATAGCCTGGCTCTGCTGGTGGTGGTCACGGCAGTGCCGGTGCTGTGCTACTTCACCCTAGTTTGACATGGCTTTTTCTGTGATTGCGGAGGAGCCTGTGTCCCCAGGGGAACAGCCTGACGCTTGTGTGTTTGTGCTGCCCCATGAATGTCTGCATGAGCAATCCTTTGGTGCCATCTGCACTGTGTGTTTTGGCGTAAGAGCTGTGTGCTGGTTGGGGAGGAAGGGTAAATGCATATGATTCTTTCAAGATGGAGTCTAATCAAAGTGATCCTTGTGGAAAAAACCCAAGTATCCTGGCTAGGTTGTGTTGCTCTGTTGCTGAATTTTATCAGGTTTTATTTATATTGTCAGACACTCTAAGAAGCCTTCATCAGGGATGGTAATGTTTCCCTATGCTGGATGCGGCTGTTCCAATTCCACGTGTGCTTCCTTTGCAAATCCTTTTGGGTATTTGCTCTTAAAACCGTCAAAGATCTGCAGCTTCTTACTTCCCAGGGTCATGATTCTTACTAAGAGAAGGATGGGGAGTGCGGTGAAGTGCTGGACATGTTCCTGTGTGTTTGATCTGGATTAGTAGTCTTCACTGTGACTCCTGGCTCTTGTTTTTTTGCCCTGAGCGTGCATGTGGCTCTGTGGCATTGTAAAACTTTGGAAACATTTGCAGTCCAGAAATCACACTCAGCAATATGCTCTTACGTAGCAGGGACAGTGTTCCCAGCTGAGTTTGCGCCAGGTGAAGCAGAAAAGTGAGATATCTATGTTCACCAAACAGGCAATGTGAATCTTCAGCAAGACTAGTTAGTTGTTACTGTGAAAATCCCAGGCCATTCTCAGTTTAAACTTCTTATTTACCTCCCTTATGAACTTGGGTGGGCTGAAGAGGGAGCGATAAAATGTCAGTCTGGTATGGGTGAAGGTGTGAATTTTGCAGAAAGCAGAGCTGCTGGACAGTTCTGGTTCGAATTAAGGCGAGGATTTAAATACCTCATGAACGTACCATCATCTGTGCTCATGTTCTGCCATCACATCAGCAGCAGCAGGGTTTCTGACAGCTCCCCTCCAGGCAGGCTCAGCGGTGCTGAAGGCAGCCTGTGTTTTCCAATGTGATGAAGGGGGTTGTCAGTCAGGATATCAGCTCTGCTTGGTCTTTAGTTCTGTTTTTTCCTGGTGGCATGAGATTGCACTGGGCAAAGCCAAGCCAGCCTAGGGCATGCAGACCACGTGGGGGTAGCTTTTTGGCGGCTCAGTTTGACTGGGAAAACCATGTTTTCAATGGTGTCACCTTGGTTCCAGCAGATCAGGTTACCTCCATTGAAGTGGGTGGAAATGAGACACAAATCACTCTCTACTCGCTCCATCCCAACAAAGTATACAAAGTTCGCATTGCAGCCAGCACCAGCGTGGGCTATGGGGCCCCTTCGGAGTGGACCCAGCATCGGACCCCTGACAGAGACAACCAGACGCATGGTAGGAGGCTGGGTGATGCCTGGGATTCGGGGTGGGATTTGCAGGACATTGGGGAACCTGAGGCATGATCGGAGATGTTTGCTTTCATTAGGGAATTACAACCATTGGATTCGGTTAGACCAAAGTGCCCACCTTTATCTCTGTTGGGAAGCCCCCCTGTGTCAGGGCTCTGAGCAACCTGATCTAGTTGAAAATGTCCCTGCTCATTGCAGGGCGTTGGACTAGATGGCCCTTAAAGGTCCCTTCCAACCCAAAGCATGTGTCTTGCTGCTTGCCTGGGTAGTTGGTCTTTCGTCACTCTATGCTCAGCTGTGAAAATTCGAAAGAAAGAAAAACAAAACACCCAAACCCCAATGTTACGACACTTGGGAGTGGATAGACAATTCTGCCAAAGAGAACTGAACCCAAGCCAGACTCCAGCAGTGGTTAAAGATGGTGTTATCTCAGAATACATTGAGAAATTCCCGTAGCGGTTTCGTGACGTTTGTTTTTTCCTGTATGACCTGGCTGGTAAAGTCAACGATAGAGTGTAACTGTACCACTCTATCAGACAGTGGAGACACCCCACTCACAGGACAGTCTCTCCTCCCACCCCTCCCTCACTGCAGAGGACAGGGAGGATTCAGTAGAACGGGGAAATGGAGACAAGTGGTTGAACGTTTTTTCTCTTGTCTTGTTCTTCCAGTTCCATTTGCCCCGACAGAATTAAAAGTCCAAGCAAAGATGGAGTCTCTCCTGATAACATGGCAGCCCCCGGCCAACCATGCCCAGATATCTGGCTACAAGCTCTACTACCGAGAAGTGGGCCCAGAGGAGTCCAGTGACGAAAGCCCTTTGGATGGTGCTGAAGATGAGACCTGGGACATAGGACCCATAAAACTAAAGAAGAAAGTGAAGCAGTACGAGCTGACTCGACTAGGTTAGCTGGTTTACATCATCTTAGCAGTTAGCGTGGAAACCCAGGGTCTGTCTCTCACGCTTTGTAGCAGTCCTGGGATGCTCCCAAGAGGCTCAGTTATCTGCTTGGCTGCAGATATATAGGACCAGGCCTGTGTGAGCTGAACTTTAAGAGCACCCAAAATCATTTCTGGAGTAGGGCTCTTGGGGCTTGTTCTAAGCAGAGTTTAAAACACAGAAATTTCTGATGCAAGTGTAGTAGGGATTGTATTTTTAACCAAGGGCTACTAATATATTTAGTATACGCTAATAAGTGGATCTGAATCAATTAGCGTTTTTTATTGTGTTGCTATAAAGAGTGCCTAGATTAAAATCTCCAGTCAGGACAGTATCTCTCCTTCACTGTGTGTTTCTAAGAAGCCCCATAATCGCGTGCTCTCTGAAATCTCTCTGTATTAAAATGCAGCCATGGTTTGATTCACAGCATGCTAATTTAGAGTCAGGATTCTCCTCCACCTCCCCCTAAGGGAAAAGGGATAGAAGAGTGAGTGACTGTGGCTGGAGAACAAGTCTGCACCACAGTCAGATCTGCCTGCCTGGCTAGCTGCGCTTGGGTTTCCCATGAGGAGTTATGTTTCTAACATCTGATCGTACCAATTAGTTGATTTGCCCATTGATACAGGATGGACAGGGAGAAGAGAGTCATAGCAGATGCATCCTTGAAACAGGATTCTGCTTGTTAGAGTTCTGCCATCCCCCACTTCACGCTTCATCCCTGTTACTGCCCGGTTAGCTGAGACTGCGGGGCGAGTGTTTCTCATGCTGGTTCATCTTACACGTCTAGCGTATCTATTATGCATGGTGTAAAGGTCAGGCTGCAGCACCTGGAAAGACAGTTTGTGTCATCACTAAGTAGATTTCCAGCCATGCTGCAGCCATCCTGCCACCGAGAAGGTGTTAACAGTTATGAGTTTCTCTGAAGAATTTAGCTCTGTAATTATTGCACTGAGGAAACCACATGTGAACATCATCACACGCTGCACTAACCACTGGCAAGTCAGTTAGCGGGGGGACTCGGGAGTGGGCTGAATTGGTTCCAAATGCTCTGGCATGATGATGCTGAGAAGGCTGCTTGTTCTTCTGTAATTACTTCCTTAAATTTGGGCATCCGTCAAGCCCTAATGGTTTCCTTATGATTTGGCGGTTGCGTATCGGCTATCATTGTGTCAGGAAGAGAGTCTCGGGTTTCTTCTAGCCGTGGATGTTCTCTTTTCTCCCCCTTACACTGTTGAATGATGTGCTCCTGCACGCGTACAGTAAAGGAAGAGGTCAGGTATCTGGCTGTATGGAGAAAGGCAGGGGGTCTGGACATGAAACGAGGAGGAGTGGTTGGGATTTAGAAGGGTTTAGTTTTATGGTGGGGAGCTACGCTGCACAGGTACTTAGGTCTGCATTAGGGGTCTTGCAGGCAGAGTGGGTAGCAGTCTCAGGAAAAGTTGGCAGCCCTAATGTGATCGATGCTGCTGCACATTGGCCAATGGGCAATCAACTGGGTGGATTTCTCAGGTCATGCACGCCTGCCTGGCAAGCGCAGCAGTGGGAACCTCTCCTAAGATCCCTCTGTAAAACCAAACAAAGTAGCCAGGGCTCTCTCTTGGGAGCATCTCTTGAGGGCAGGGTAAGGGGGCTGCATGTGGTGATCACTGCTGTCTGGTGGGAGAGTGAGGGTTGCCCAGGCTGGCCCATGGGAGGTGGGCTGTTGAAGAGGTGTCATGGCTGAAACTACAAATTGGGTCAAGAACTTGAAGGCATACGATGTCAGGAAATCCCAGGGTTGGGCACTGGGAATGCAAGGCTGCAGCTCAGACATCGTTGTGTACCATGCCAGTGCAAACAAGGTCCGTGTTCCCCGTTGGAAGCTACGTACTGCTGCAGGATAGTCACTAAATGCCCATTAGCTCCGTGTCTCCACGTTGTCAGTGAAGCCAACGCTCTGCCTCTTGTCTTGGTTTGGGGTTTGGCCTGAGAGATGAAACTCCTGTCCCGCTGCTTGTTCCTGTGTAGCTTGATTTTTGATTTCCTGGTTTTCCTTGGGTTTTGTTTTTTTTCTCCAGGAGCACAGCAGGGCAAGAGGGGGAAGTACTTTGTGGAGAAACAGCTCCTTTTGAGGCATGCCTCAGAGAGGTAGATGGGTGTGCAGAGAGCAGCTTTGGACAGAGTTTCTTGAGCATGGCTACTCTTTATTCACAGCGATAGCACAACTATTACACCAGCAGAGAGCCCTGTCCATGTTTCCCTCCCCTGGTTTCCTGTAACATCAGGGTCTGGTTTACGCTACAGTAAGGGTCCTGGTGCTTGGTCCGGTGCAAGATTCTTGTTTTGTCTCCTCTTGCACCAGCTGGTCCTGCTACTCAAATGGTGCCAGCTTTGTCCATCTTTCCTCTATCCTGCAGGCTTCCTCATCCTTTGCCTTACCCCCAACATCTGGGTTCTTGATTTGGCCTTTGGTAATGTCCCAGCTATCTTCATCTGAGCCATCTGAAATAAAAGACGACTTCTCTCCCATGCTCATGCTAACCTCTGGAGCAAACCATGTCTCCTTAGAGTGATATTGCTAATGACACACCTTGTATCTTGCCTGAGAGTTATGGGCTGAAATGCTGTGAGAGAGGTGGGCAGCTGTTCAGAGGCACATAAGAAATACGGCAATTTCATGAGCCCACAAAATCAAAAGGACGCTGTCCTGAAATCACCAGGAGGGCTTTTCCCTGAGAAATTCTCATTCATTGCCATCTCCGTTCTAGCAGTTAGTCACTGTAATGGCGTGCAGCTATCAGGACCGTAATTTACATGAAAAATAAACAGTAAGGATCTGATCCCATCTTCCACGTTCCCATGAAGAAAGAGGGCATTTGTCTTGGAGTGACTCCCTCGAGATTAGGGTATTTTCCCACTTACAGGAAAGTATGGCATCAGGCCAACGTGAACACCTTGAAAAACTGAATAAAACAACATATTTAGCATATTGGATGTATTATGTAGTCATCCAGATTAGTGATTTGAAATGATCTGGACTAGATTGTTCTGCTTATATTTAATGTATGATGGAATGCAGTGAAATACATCTGTTTTCATGCTGCCTACTAGCTTCTTGACAGCTTGATAGAGCTTTATGTCTGCATGTTCTAAAAGCTTGAACATCTGGGCCTGTGTATAAAAATTGAAGCCAAGCCTCTGACTGAGAAATCCAAAATAACCCTATTTTCAGAATGTGAATTGCTTGATCTTGTAGTAAAGCTCCTCTGCCTTCACGTGTAAGTGGCTGCTGTATTGATCCTACCCAGGGATGGAGATGGAGGACTTGTCCTGTCCTTCACTTCATTCTCCAACAGGAGCTGCCCACAGCTGCATCACATCTGTGAGCTTTTCCTCATCGTTTTGGATCACATCATCTGCAATGAGCTCGTGCCCCAGTGAAGCCCAGCCAAATGCTCAGGCGCGAGGCGGAGCATGTGTACTGGCGAGAGACAGGCTGTGGGGTTCTTTGTTCCACCAAGCCCGTGGTCCCAGCCATTTGGAAGTTGAGTGCCCTTTGGTCTCATCCCCCTTGTATGGGTTTGAAACGTTTTCCTATGGCTGGAGAGCGTGGAAATGCAGATCAGGCTGCCTTGGAGGCAGACAAAACTCTGTTTGCTTTTGGGATTCTTTCAGGGAGAAAAATGTGGCTGAACTGTTTTTATATTCTGAGCGCGAACATGTGTTGTGGAGCAGAGAAAGCCTTTGGTAATTGGTACCATTAGCCTCTGGGAGCGTAATCAGTGCAGTAATAATAAAATTGGCATCAATAAGAAAGGTTTTATTCTGCTTATGTTGTCTGGCAAAGAGAGCAGTGATCTATCAGGGCACGGAATGAACAGGCACGTCCCAAATTAACAAACTTCATCAATGTGCTGCAGCCAAGGCAACCAAAGACAGCGTGGACTGCTCTCGCTGAGCTTCTGAATGGGCTGGCTGCTGAAGGGAGAAGCTGGCGAGTGTCTTATTTGACAACTTTGTGTCTCCCAAGTCGTTTCCTTGATTAAACAACTCCATTAAAAAAAAAAATCTCAGCTGTTACTTAACACAGCAGAGGAGGCAAAGAGGGAAGTGAATTTTGGACCAGGGCAGCGCTGTTTGGAGGCAGAGTGCCCTGTCCTGCAGCTCAGTTTGGGTCCAAGTGTGAGGTTCCCCATAGAGTGCGTGGCTGGCTGATGGGAAGAGCGGTTTTGTGTGCACTGTTGCTTTTCTAATTGCAAACCAAGAAACTGCTGTGGATGCAAACTAGTCACCGTACAACAAAAGCTGCCAGTGACTTAATAGGGTGTGTGAGGACTTGCTGGAAGGAAGATCCTCACAGCAGTGAATAAATCAGAAAGGACTTTAGAAATGGGAGGTGCATTTTGGAAAGGAGAGGATGTCCTCACTCCTCAGGAACAAACAGTGCAGTGCACCCACTTCCATGGAGGGGAGAGAGGAGTCATCGTGCATAGGTTTCTTCAGTAGTTTGCAAGGGAGAAAGGTCAGGAGATACTGAGATGATGTGCGACAGGCCATGACAGTGGTTAACCCTTGGTGGCTGGGGCAAGTCCATTTGCTGCTGATAATTTCTGTAAAAAGTGAGGGGAGAACTAGAGAATAACTGTGGTGCTACGTGCTCCAGCTGTGAGACAGTATTTGAATGTGGAAAGCCTGTAAGTGGAACTCCCTTATGTATTTTATCAAATGCAACTTTTCTTCAAGCTGCTTCCCTTGGATGGTGAGAAAAACTGGTCAGATCAAAGAAAGCATGTCTAACTGGGGAGGGATGGTAACAAAAATAACCCCAGACAAACCCTGATTGATTTTTTTCCAGCTCCTGGGAAACTCTATGAGGTGAAGCTGGTGGCATTCAATAAGCACGAAGATGGTTATGCAGTGGTTTGGAAGGGCAAAACAGAAAAGGCACCTGCAACAGCAGTAGGTGAGGAATGCCCTTCATTTGTTGTCTGTCTCTTCTGCTTGGCATGTGGCTTCAAAGGAAGGGTAGGGGAAAAGTTACAGAAGATGAGCTTGAAGAAGGACAATATGAAAACAGGGAAGGTCCCAAGATAAGGAAACTCCCTTTGAAAGTCATTGCAAATTGTATTGGAGGAATTATCTTGGGAAGGAGAGAAATGAGCAAAATATCAAAATATTCCCCTTTTCATTGGGGTGGTTGTTATACGGGGTGTGGATGGCTTTCACCGTGTTCTCTCTGGGCCCGTTAGTGGCCCCGGGATGCTCTTGGAAATGCCAAATAACCTGGGTTTCATCTCTTAAGTTACAAAGATTTGAGAAAGTGAATTAGCAGCATGCCAGGCTTTTTGCAGTGTTACAAAGAAAGTAAAAGCTCTGAAGACCTAGGCTCCATTCTCGGCTCTGCCAGCCTGTTGTGGGATGGTGAACAGTCGGGGCTTTTCCTTGCCCTGGTGTGGGCCTGTCAGGTGGGTAGCTTTGAAGCTGGCCTCCTGTGCTCCACGATAGTACTCCACCACCTTGGTGTGTGGATCCTCACTGTGATCTTTCCCACACGTGAGGAAAAGCGTGGATCACTGCGTGCACAGGAGGGCTAAGCCAGGCATCTAGGCTTATGCTGGAGGCCAGCATATCAGTGCAGGCTTCTCAACCTAGGCCTGTTTTATTCTGTGTTTTGTGTGTCCATGATGGCTATCCCATGCTTTACTGTCACATACGTCTCCACATCTCTTTTCTCTTTTTTGTCTTGCACCATAGATCCCCCTGTGCAGAAGGGTCCTCCGCTGCCTCCAGTCCAAGTCTATGCAGAGTCCAACAGCTCAACTTCCATATGGCTCAGATGGAAGAAACCTGACTTCACAACAGTCAAAATTGTCAACTACACTGTGCGCTTCAGCCCCTGGGGCCTGAAAAACGCCTCTCTTGTTACATACTACACAAGGTAAAGAGGGATGCTAAGGGTTCATCTGCCATGTATTGCACATGTCAGGAATAAACGCGGGGCAGGAGGAACCTGCAGGGAAGTTCCAGTACTGAGCAAAATCCTGGGTGTTTCACATGCTGGAAACATCTGCCTTGGTCACAGATACATTCAGAACTGCTGAAATTTGGCACTAGGACTTGTCTACGACTTGAATGCCAAGGGATCATTTACTGGTTGGTCTCTGCATCTTTTCTGCTCTGGTTGGACCTTACATGCTTGTGTCCCTGTTAATAACATAGCCAAGTGCAATTAAGGTCAGTCTCAAAGCATTCATGATTTGTGAGATGGTCCTTGCAAGATTGCTTTAAAAATTGCTAGAGTTAAAGCAGTTATAATAATTTGGGGATGTATTTTAAATCTGGATTCCTGTGCAGGTTTTCAGCCTGTAACTAGGCTGTGTTTTCAAGCTTTTCTCTGCAAGTACATCAAAAAAGGTCCTGGAGGCTGGGAACCTACTTTGCTCTGTATCTGGGATCTTCTATTCCCACGACTGCAGGAGATGAAGCTTTAGGTGAAAAAGCAAATACTCTAAGAGTTAGGATAATCTCTTACAGTGTTCCTGGTAAGGTTATCAAGCTGACAGTGGGTGGGAGAACCACCTAGTGTTCATGGCCTTGTGAATGTGTCCTCTTTCGGCAGCTCGGATGAAGACATTCTCATTAGTGGGTTGAAGCCCTACACCAGGTATGAGTTTGCAGTGCAGTCCAATGGTGTCGGCATCGATGGGCCTTTCGGCAGCGTAATCCCGATTTCTCCTGGCTTTCCCTGAATTTCTATCAAATCCCTCCTAATGTGCGCCTGAGAGATGGGATCTTGGATCATCTCTAAGCTGTGATGCCCCTAAGTACACACTGAGAGCCGCTAAGCATCCTGGTGGCTTTCCCAAGCCCATTAAAGGAGTGCTGCGTTGTAAACAGAGAGGAGCATGTAAAGAGAATTGGGGCAACGATTATTGTTACTGTGGGGTTGCCTCTGGGCTCAGAGAAATCCTGTTTGTTAGAGAAAGCTGATAGTGCATCACTTACAGGCTAGGTCCTCCCCAGTCTGAATGTCACTGTCAGAGCAAAAGTGCCTTGCCCAGCCTGGTTTTCCAATAAGACCTCCACCTCTTACTTCAGGCCAAGTGAAGGCTGGGAGGCAGAGATGATCCCAGGAGCTGCGGCGGGTTAGCTCCTTACTCTGTGACAGCTGCTCCAGTATTCAGCTTCATAAAGCAGCAGCCTTTGGAGGTGTTGTGTGTCCTGCCCCTAGCTGGGACTAGTTGTGGTGCAAGCAGAGCTTTAGGGAAGATGGAGAAGAAAGCAACAAAGAGCGAACTGGGAATATTCTCTCAAAGGTGAGTGGTGTTGCATAGCCTCAAGCTGAGCTGCGTGGCTTCAGCAGCACTGTCACGTTTCCCTTGCCTGGTTGGCCATGATGCACAAGTCCTGCCCTGTACTGGGCTCAGCAGCCTCCTCTCTGCACTCTCCACAGCTTGCTTGGGTGAAGTGTCTGGCCACCCAGGTTGCCCATCATTTCATACTTACAAACACGGCTGCGGCACCGCTGGGAAGGATTCAGAGAAGGCACAGAGCAGTTGTCAAGCCCTGCAGGTTGAATGCTCTCCTCCTCTTTTCTGCTGTTCGTGCTGGTCCTTACTTGTCTCTGCCAGGTCCCTCGACTCCTCCGTCTGACCTGCGGCTGCACCCACTCAACCCCTACGCTGTCCAGGTGCACTGGTGTCCCCCTGTCGAGCCCAACGGTATCATTGTGGAGTACCTCATTCTGTATAACGCCAACAACACGCAGCCAGATGACATGTGGACCTTGCTGACGCGAGAAGGTGAGCCTCCTTGAGGTAATACCCCACCAGGTCCTCTTCCTCCTGCCTTCTTCCCTGCCTGGGGAGCTCTGGTTGGTCAGTCCTGCTGCCCTGATTTTTGCCTCACTCAGAGCACATACAAATCAAGAGCTCATGCTGCCAGCTCTCTTGGAACATATGCTGGGCCTTGCTCCTGGTCATATAGGAAATTCCAGGGGCACAACTACTGAGAGACATGAAATCTTACATGTCCAGAGCTGAAATAGCCGTTATCATCCAGCAAACATCCTGCAGGTACAGGCTGGCAGCCAGTAATTCCTAGGAGAGCGTATGCCAGCAACACCACGTGCAGTCCGTATCATCAGCTCTTCAAGTAGCAAGTTCATTAATACCGAAGAGGTGTCTAAATTACCTCTTAGAGTTCACAACACAAAATCCCTCACTTCTGAGGGTCCAACAGAATTCTACTGCTGCAGCCTCTGAATACTCTTGAAACTGCACATTTCAAACCTCTCTTGACTTGCTTTTTATTAGGAAATATCTTCAGCACTGAAGTGCATGGCCTGGAAAGTGATACCAGATACTTCTTCAAGATGGGAGCAAAGACAGTCGTGGGATCTGGTCCCTATTCAAACGTTAAGGATGTGCACACCCTCCGGGAGAAGTTGTCTGGTACGAATTTCCCCTTTGTCACGATGCAGGAAACGAGTTGCTTTGCTGAAGATCACAATTTATCATCAGTGGCATTTCTGTTTGCCAAGCAATTGCCTGATTTCACCATGCGGGATGCGAGATAATGGCTGCGTGTAGGCCAGTGCAGAGGATCACAGCAGAGTCCTCAGATGTGCAGCTCCACCAGCCTCGGGCAGCTCCAGAACCTGTCCCACAGCCAAACTTCATCTCTCTTCCCCATCCCAGCTCTTATGGAAGGGCACGTGCTACCTGCACCTTGCTACCTTTCTGTTAGGCCTATGTAGTGTGAAATTAATGAATGTGCATAGGTGCCAGTTTGCTTTAAGCTACTCTAAATTGTCACTGCCAAGTGATCTTCTTCCTTTATAGAGGCATCACCTATTGGTTTTAGTGAAGCTGGTGCTTCTCTGAACATAAGACGCTTTGCACCTTCTTCCTGCTAGCAGCTGAAATGATGTGTCTGTCCTTCCCCTACTAGACGTCCTGGATATCCACTCTGTCACGGGAATCATTGTGGGAGTCTGCCTGGGGCTGCTCTGCATACTCTTCTGCATGTGTGCCAGCTTCCGCAACAGCAAGCAGAGGTAGGTGTCAGCTCGCCTTTGCAGGAGGTAAAGGAGGCTGATGTGGAAGGAGACAAAATACACTCTGAGCTGCTTCTCCATGTTCAGCTGGGCCGTTTGGGACGCGGTGTATGGTATTGGTTAATGTAAAGATTGAGTCTTAGGCATGCTAGCTGGCCAAGGAACATATTTAGTACAGTCTTCTCACCTATTTATTTTCTCAGTAGTTTCTCTTTAATTTGCATTGTTAGACTCATAGGGATTTTTCAGAGAAAGAAAAACCCAAGAAAAGGGAACAGATTGCTTGCACAAGGACAGGCTGAGTGGCCTGGAGGGGATCACTTTGTCTGGCAGTCTGTTGCTGTTTGGGACAGAGGAAAGTTAGGCTCATGAGAGATGACAGCTCTTGCTCGTTTTCCCTCAGGGAGGCCCTGCCAGGCCTGGATTCCCAGGCAGCCGGCAACCACACTTACTACCACCGGAGCAGGCAAGGGGTGGCAGCTCCCAGTGCCACCTTGGACTCACATGAGCTCGAGTCCCTCATGTCCCCACTCCCAGAGGATGCACCTGTGCCCCTGGGGGACATCACAGAACTGACGGAAGTTCACAGCCTCATACACACAAGCCTCCCTGAGGATATCATCCATGGGAAGAGGAAGGTAAGGACCCATGAATGCGGTGATCGGGCTCCCACCCTAGGCAAGAGTCTTTGTCTGGTGTGTCGCTGCTGGGAAGCCAGGGTCCGATCCTGTCCTGGCTCTGCAAAGTGCTGGTAATCTTGGCTGCAGGCTGGTGCTGGGCAGCCATGCATTTCCCGCTCTGTAAAACTGAGTGGCTCAGTCTTGGCTGCCAGATCTAAGTTTGGGATCCATCCCCAAGCCATCTGCCACCCTTTTTCGTCTCCTGAGACAGCGACCCCTCATCCCCGGAGAAGCAGCTATCAAACTCAACTGCTGCAGAAAGCTGCACTATTCCTGATGCCGTGTGAGAAAGTGTGATGCCTGGAGTAGATGCTCTGCTTTTGCTTAGTTAAAGGAGCTTTGTCCATAAATAGTGTGTTCACTGGAATACCCTTGAAGATATATGAGAGGTAGAATTCTGTTTTATTTGTGAACCTTATTTTTTGAAGGAGTCTTTTCCTGCCCTGCTTGCTTTGCCTGACATTGTATTGTCTTTCATTCCTCCCTGCCCATTTCCTCTCTCAAGCTTGCCTGAAACATTTCATTCCATTAGGGAACCTTTAATTGGCCTAATTTAGTTAATCTGTTTATGTTTCTCTTTGTAGCCCAGGGAGAGCATGTAAAGTAATTAGGAGGTTCAGTAAAACAAATGCATTGTGAGCGCATGGGATTGCACGTTTGCATCAACGATGCGCTTGTGTGTCACTGGAGGGAAGGTTTGTTCAGGATACCTGGCTAACAGCGAGACCCGTCCTTGCTGCGAGTGGCAGTGCAGGTGTGGACTTTTGGAAATGCAACATCTTCTGCTGGCTTTAATAGTCCTGTGAGCTGAAGGCGCGCTCTTGGCCATCCCCAAGTGCCGTGGCAGATCAGCGCTCAGCTGAAGGAGAGGCGGTTTGCAGCCAAGCCGCATCTATGGATTTCGGTGGAATGTAGCTGCCTGTCTGGAGCCAAGCCAAAGAGTGTGAGGAATTTCCTACAGCTCTTGCTGTTAAATAGGGAACAAATGTTTTCAGTGATGGCAACTTACCCTGAGAACAGGTTGGGGTGGGGGGAAGTTTCCTCCCTTGGGAGACTTTTTGGGGGGGCAGCACATCCAGGTCTCTCTTCCAAAGCAGCAATTCTGTCTGCAAAGGTTTAGACAACGATTTTAATGTGTGCAGAGCAGGGGCTGGAGAGGGCAGTGCCAAGACCTGGCTGCTCGGGGCTTAGCCTGAGAGCCTGGGGCCCCCAGTGTCTCTTGCAGAGGCTGGCAGTGTCCAGCAGCGGAGCAGAGCTGCTGGGAGAGCTGTAGTGTCTCTGCCTCCATAATTGGATGGGGAGAGGTCACCAAGAGTTGAATTCACTGAGGATCTTTGCCAGCAGAATAAAAAGCTTGGTTTTTTGATGGATGTGGATAGGGAATCGAGGATCACTGGGACGCGGTCACACGCAGCTGCCCGGAGAGCGGTGTTGTTACCAGTGCCGACTGGTGAGGATGACCCGGTGGGTGAAGGAGAGCTCAAGAGGTGGCTGGGAGCAACAGGCTGTTGTTGCTGGGAGTGGGCACTGGAGGGAGATGTGCTCCCACGCAGGAGGCCCTGCTCCCTCCACTGCCCAGTTCCTGCTGGAAGTGCCACCTGAGCCAGCCCTGAGCACCGTTGCATCCTCTGATATTTATAATCAAGGGTGGAAAGACTCAGGCCAAAAACATCTTCATGCTGCAGCTACCAAGAGGCCACATGTCCGGACGGCGATGCGATTTTACCTGGCTGGGCGGTCAAGGAGTTGGGCAGGTCCCATGAGCATGGCCGTAGCGGTGCACACATGCCTGGTCCCCACAACAGATGTAAATCAAGAGTCAGGTGCAGTTGTGAGTGTGTACATCTCCCTGCTTGTAGACAAAATGCTACTAGCCAAGGCCCAGGAGTGGGCTGTAGGTTCCTTGGGTTGTCTTGTGTGCTGCAAATAGGTTCTTCCAGCAGCCATGTAAGCTAGCTGCCAAAACCCCCAGGGACCCTGCCTGGAACGAGTGTTGCTGGGAGCTTTGTACCCTACAGTGACCAGCTGTCTTCGTTGCCTTCTCTTTTCTTCTCTTGTGCTGTGTGTGGTTGGAGCTGTAAAAACCCATGGCAAGGAATGTGGTAGAGCCACAGGAAAGAGAAAATCCTTGTGGAAGGAAATTCCTGGTCCAGCCTGGCAAAGGGGAAGCTCCCCAGGGTTGGGTATTATCACTTGCAGTCCTCGTCAATAAAGAAAGGGAGTGAGAAATGTCTCAAGGATCCCTTTTATTTAACAGCACATCATGTCACCACAGAGCTCAGGATGTTGGCTGGGACAGACTCTTAGTCTGCTGCCGCTGCCGCCGTTGGACTGGTTTGTATAGCTGTGGTGCCAGGGAACTGGCAGCTCCAGGCCTCTGTGACCTCCGGATGTCTGCTTGCCTCTCCGTCCTCAAGTTACGCTCCTGAAACCTGTTTTGTGGCGGTTGGGTGGCACTTGCCATTAGCAGTGGCAGTGATAGCTGCTGCCGTGCTTGTGGGCTTTTCACGTGCTGGCTCGTTACTTAGCATTTCATGGATTATTCTTCATGGGTTTTATTCTTGAGGCAGCCTGAGGTTCCTGTGGAGATTGGAGGCTCCCTGTTGTTAGGAGGTGTACAAACACAAAGAAGGGACTGTCCCCGTGCCGTAAGCAGTCAGAAGTGAGTGAATGTCACTTTACAGATGTGGGGACTGGAGAACAGTGAGACCAAGGGCAGGGAGACTTGAACAACGCTGAGATTTGAACTGACACCTGCAAAGAATCGCAGGCAAAGGTTTTGAGAAGTCCCCTTGGTCATTTTCAAGTCAAGATCACCAGTTCCTTCAAATGTAGGACTGTGATTCCTCCTCTTAAGCCGTTACAAGTAATACTAGGGGTGCGGGATGGTGCAAGTGGGAAGTGGGACAGTCTTTGAGCCGCCTGGCCCCCCTGCCCCTGCTTGCAGGACAGCAAGGTGCTACTGCAGCTGAGCTGCTGGCACGGGACCCCTCGGGATGCCTGACAGCTCCATTAGGCAGGAATACGCTCGGCCATGTAGCAGGCCCTTTTCTTTCTGTATGTTTCCCAGCGGTCGCACGCAAGGATTTGTAAATACACTGACAAGTGATTTTCCTCTTACTCTCTTCCGCTTTCGGGTGACCCCCAGCCTGATGCCCTCAGTAGCCCGCGTTATAAATGACACCGTAATGCACAGGCTGTGGCGATGTGGCTCTGTTTCCCCTGACAGATGGACTGAGGATGATAAAATGGCTCTGCTCCAGACATCTCTGTCACTGCTGCTTTTGGGCCAAGCAATTTAGGGGGTGGGGGAGAATGTTAAAAAGCATCTGCTTTCCATGGGAGACTTCAGCTTTTCATTGAATGAAGCCAAACCCAAACATCTTGGCTTGGAAATGTTTGCCGTTGTGCTTCTTGCAAGCTGGAACCTTCCTTGCTTGCTGCCCGGCTCCTTCCCTGTGGGCCTCCTCTCTGCGGGGACCGCGTTTCCCATGAAGCATCCCTGTGACTCGGAGAGCAAAAGCTGTAATGCATCAGGGAACTTGGATCTACCCGGGTTGTTTGTCATTTTCATGTTGAAATTTTTCTGCGTGGAAAAGAAGTCCCCATGTTTTCTGAAAAATCTGAGATGAGAGCTGTGCTCCTGGTGACGGTGAGCAGAGATCCTCCTTTATCTGGTGGGGGAGAGGTCTGTGTTACGTTGCATCTTGCTTAGAGGGGCGCAGCTGTGGGCAGGGGTGCCTGGGTGTTTGCATGACACGGAGCTTCCCTGCTTCCCCCCTGGCTGCTGTGGTGCTGCTCAAGCAATGAATCCTTTCTCTCCGCTATGACACCCTTAAAAGCTGGGCACATCTGAAATGGTTGGCCAGCCTTGTTTTGCACAGGATTTCAAGCTCGTTGAAACGACCATCCTCGTAAAACGGGGAAGGTTTCAAGAGCAACATTTCCTACGTGTTCATTCTCAGCTCATATATTTGCATGAAATCATTACTTGTCACTGAAGAGGTAACATGATCGAGGCACATTTTTACCGGTCGGAGTTTTTATAGAAAGGCTAAAATGAAAAGGCTTGTTTGCTTTGATAAGGATTTAGCTGTAATGGAAACACCTTTTACTGGAAGATGTTTTTATTAGTTTTCATTCTTGTGTTTGCAGTGAACTGACAAAGGGATTTTTCCTTCTTCAAATGAGTATTAGGCTGACGCTCCTTGCCTTCGCTATTCTATTGTAAAAACCAAGAGAACGTTTCCTTGGCTTCCTTCAGCCATTCACTAGCCCCCCTCGAGTAGAAAGAAATAATATCATTTATTACACCAAAAGGTACTGCTTAAAAAAGCAGAGCAGCTTTCAGGCACACAGGACCTTCTTCAGGTCTGTGGTGGAAACAGACCCAGAGTTAATTGCTGCTGCCCAGCCTTAGAGACTTAAGCCCCAAGAGGGATTTTTGGTTTTTTCTTTTTCCCTCTCAGACATAATGTGCTTGAACAACATGTGGGATATAGGCTATGTTGTGTGGCTGATGGTTTTTTCTGTTTGTTGAAAGTTGCAAACTGGTACAAAACAAGTTTGTTCTTCGTTGCAGCCAATTTCAGCCAGAGCTGAACAGGCTGTTCCCAGAGTCATCAAAACCTATGTAAACATGGCAGATTGACATTTCCGCTAACAGATGGCCCATTGGGGATTGCAGTAGAGCTGCCTGTTTCTTTCCATGTTTTTTGGTATTCACAAGACGCCTGCAAGAAGGTTTTCAAGTTTGCTCTGTGTGTGTGTATCCGTATGATGCTCAGATCTTTCTGGTGGCAAATACGCATGTAAGCATCTATAATAGGACACACATTTGTGTGCATATTTGTGTAGGTTCAACGCTGAGATTTCCAGGCAGTATTTGCTCAGTAACGTATGTTCCTTGGAAAAGGCACAGAAGCCATCAGTCAGCGATGGAGCTGCAGAAAGCCTTTCAGATGGTGGCAGAAGCAAATTGAACACGTTCCTTGAGTACTCACATGCAGTGATATTCCTTATTGTGAACTCTGTGTGATCGCTTGGTTGATTTCTTGCTGTTAAAGTGTAGTTTAATGATTGTCCACTTAGAAGGGGAGCAATTAGGGATGGCTCTTGGCTGAGAATATATTGTTGAGGATTGCAGAGAGAGGAACGGCAAAGATACTGCCTCCAGCATCCAATTCTAAATCAGCAAGTGCTTGATATCCACAGCGCAGGGTTTGGACGTCCCTGTTCTGCAGGGTGCTGTCATATAAACGAGGCCCTTTACTACTTCTTTTCTTAAAGTTTGATCCTGAAGCAGCAGCAAAGCTGCTTGGGCTTGGTTCTGGGATGTAACACTGCTCTGCCTCCCGCAAGGTGCTGAGCCCCTTTGGTGCTTGAGTCAGGGTGGACAAAGCGACCTCGGGAAAGGCTCGGGCAGCCCTTCAGCACACACGAGCACGTTAACACGCCTTGTGCCAGCACCGACAGCACGAGGTAGCATTTGCTTCTCGCTAAATAGCTGACTTAGGAATGCCTGGCTCTCGTACAACATCTGGTCGTGTATTTCTACCTAATTTCCAGCCAGATGGACTGAGGAACAAGAAGGTCAAAAGACTCACACAAGGTCAGGCTGATGTCAGAAATCTCTTTGCCATCTCAGCTGGACTCGTGCTGCGTTGCCTGTTGTTGGAATAGATCTGGCCTGTGTAAGCAGCGTCCACGTATGCAGAGCAGAAACCTGGGTTTCTCCTGCCTGACAGTGAGCAATAGGTGGTCGGTGAGTTAGAATAGACGTGCCGTCTATCTTCACCCTGCGCAGCCGTCGTGCTCACACCACCCGTGTTCTGCATGCACATGCACACGTGCACGCTCGCAGTTGTGTCAGGTCAGGATTTTCTCTTCGCTTCAGCCTTGCGCCGGCCCCTCACTTCTATCCAGGCAACATGTAACATCTGTGGAACAAGCCCGGAGATAACAGGCTCGTGTGGTCCTTAAATCTGAGCGCGCGTATACATATGTACATATACATGTATATGGATGTGAGTCAGTAGCGAGGCTGAGCTCAGGTATATGCAGGACAGCCCAATAAAATCAAAACCTGGAAAGAAAATACTTTTCTGCCTGTGAACTAATAGTCTGAGCTGTTAAATAACTTCAGCTCTTAAAGGCACACATTTCCCATACACAGAGGTGTGCATTCAACAGTTTATTGCAAGGGGAAGCTGAGAGAACCCAGAACAAATTGCGTTCAGCCCATATAATTTAATTAGATCTACAAACAAGGTAACACTGGTTGCCCAGGGGATTTAAAGCTGAGCTAAGAATTGCTTGGTGGTCTGTTGCAAAAAAAAAAAAAAAAATAAGGCCCCCAGTTTTGTGCCTCTGTGTTGATGGGGAATGGCAGAGTGTTTACCCAAGCCCTTGCTTAGAGCAGGAAATCTGTCTGCACCGCAGAGCAAGCAGTTTAGCGTTGTCTTCAGCTCTTACTGGAGCACACGTGCCAGGGCACGCAGGCGAGGGTCCTTCTCCACGCTGCAGAGCATCGCTTGTGCCAAAGCAAACACTGTAATCACTCAGCTCCAGATTTCCACTGTCCCAGTTCCTTCCCAGCTTTGCAGTATATTTGAGCAGGCTCACACTGCTCTGGGTTGTTCGCAGCTTTGCAGGGTGCTGATTTCAGTGGACCTTAAAATGATGCCTTGTGCCACGGTATACTTCTTGGCCTCAAAATTTGAGAATCAGTGGAAAGCCCCTTACGTGCCCAGTTGTGAACCATCTGGCAACTTTTATCCACTTCCTCTGCATCAGACCATGTAAGAGAGCAATAAAGCCTGTTCTAATGTGGCGACTGTGTGAGTACGTTGCAGCGAGCATTTTTATTTTGATGCCATCAGAAGCGTTCTCCGCATTTAGCTTGCGTCTTCTGACACCGTGGTATTTCCCCAACTTGCACTCTCCTTTTTCAAGCTGCTTCTCATTCCAGGTTTATGAGGGTAAGAATCTCTATCTGTGATAATTGGATCTTTTCTCCTCCCGCTTTTCTTCTGCAGTCTTCATGGAATAAATCAGCCAACCAGCCCTGGACAAACAGCATAGCCAGATACGGGGACGCTATCACGAAAGAGCCTCTCTCTGCTGTGAACGGATCACTGAAGCTCCCTTCCAGTGCGGGACAGAAGCTTTTGTTACAAGCTCTGGTTTACGATGCCGTGATGGTGGGTTTATTGACTTGTGTATTCTGATGTGTTTTTTTCCATTTATGGTCCCCATCTCCCTTTCTCCTTTTTGCAGCCCAGGAGAAAATGTTTTCTTCTCTAAGCTAGCTTTTGTTGGCTGATCATGGGCTTTATTTTTTTTTTTTCCTGTGTCTAGGAGTGTACGCCAGCGAGACTGATGGGATTTGAGTAAAAGCTGTTTGTTTTTTCCAAGCACTGCTCAAAGCGTCAGCTCTCCCCTGACCATCTCTCTTGACTCCAGCCAGCCCCGGAGGGCCTGTGCTGTGGGCTTGTTCTTTTAGGGATGGGCAAGTGGGGTCAGACAGCTCGCTTGGCAGCAGGGTTGTGGCAGTCCTGGTTCCTGAGGACCCGGAGCCAGGCACCAGCAGTCTGCTTTGAGTCTTTGCTGTGGCCATGCAGTGAGCAGCCTGCCGAATGAGTTAGGAGCTGCAATGCTCAGCACAGTCATTACGATCTACAGTGTGCTTGCCTGAAGGAAGGATTGCATTTTTGCCTGTAAAAGGAGTCAAAGATCAAGGGCTGATTTAAACTCCTTCTCCAGGCAGGGTAGAGCCATTTCCACTGCACTTGTCTTCTTTATGGGGGTGCATAGATTAGGAGGAAATCCCATTTCTGATACTGCTTCATTGGGATAAATACATGCTCCCGTGTTTGGGAGAGTTTGTACAAGGATCGTGATGTCTGTGCCACGGTCTCAGCAAAGTGAGCTGGCACCTGCTCGGATTGACTCTGTACCAGAAGATTTCTTTGGTTATTGTTTTAAAAAGTTCACCCTCCACCTCCAACGAATACTTCTAAGTCACCTACCTGTGTTTCCTTCCCAGATATTAGTGTGAAAATCAGTTATACACAGGTGTAATTAACATTATGGATAGAGTTAAGACAATGTTTTAACAACCCAGTTACAGCGCAGCATTCACAGCACATCTTACCCATCAGAGTTTGTCAACAAAACAAGAAAAAGTGTTAAAATATGTAAATGACACACGAAGTTGGCTTCAACAGAAAGGGCAAATTACATGTGGGATATCACTTCCATATTTTGAATTGTCACCTCGCTACTAAATCACACTCAGCCCAGAATCTGAGCGCTGATTGTCTGGAGAGCTCTTTGTGAGCTTCCAAAATAATTTGCCTGTTAATTTATTGGATGATAATCTAGCAGAATGACCTACTTGTTAGATTAGCCAGATTCCTGGAGACCTGTAGCCTGGACTCCACATTTAAATACTGTGGAGGAGAACCAGTTGGTTTCTTTCTGAATTAAAATGCCTGAATTTACACCAGCTTTTGCAAGCTGTGACCAGGGCTTTAACAAGCAAACATTTTGTGATACGTAGCCAAAATGAAGCCAGGAGAGTGAAGGGAGCCCTGGTATCTAGTTGTGGGTTTATATCATGAGCTGTCTCAAAAGCCAGTTTCCTAGAGCGCTGCCCGCTCGCCCTGTAGAAATCTGGCCCCTAATATGGAAACAGTTAATATGGAAACTGGTGAGTTTTGAAAATTGTGGTCTTTGACAGAGGCTTGGAGGAATGGTTGCTCCAGCCTGCCAAGAAACCGTGGGCAAATCACTTCACTCCCTTGGGACTTGCTTTCCCAAATGTAAAGTAGGAATAATGATCCTGAGGTGATTTGAGAGGCTTCTTAAGGCTTCAGCTCTGAGCAACATATCAAGGTAATGCTGAATAGCGGCATGTGTACATCCCATTTCACTCTGTGGGATTAAAAAGAAATACATTTCAGTGCTTGGTTGGGTCACAGCCTCAATTATCAGAATTTCATTTACTTTACCTTTTTTTTTTTCTTTTCTTCTTTTACTTGTTTCTTTTTTCCTTTCAAATTTCTCTCTGTTTGATGACAGAATGAAGCAAAGAAAAGCTACCCGCCAGGCAGCCTCCACCAAGTGGAAGCAGAGGTCATCGTCCATTCTGATTTTTCAGCCTCTGACAGAGACTACGGCTCCCAGCTGCACACTCTGGAGAGCGAAGAGACGGAAACCGAGGACCAGGAGCCTGAGGAGCTCCCCTCTGGAGAGCTGGCTCTTCCCAGCTCTCCCAGCACCCGGCAGGATGCTAGCCAAACGTTGGTGGATGGCACGGGCAATTCTGAGGTTCAGGCCCAGGACGAGCTGTTTTGTACCGACAGAAAGACTAACAAAACAGAGGCCGTTGGCATCTGTGGGCTCACCAATGGCTTCCACAGGCACGGGGAAAGTCTGGATTCAGTGGAGAGCGGAGATTCGGACTCCATCCAGGAAGGCAGGGGGGATGTGCAGCCTATCAAGTGCCAATCGCTTTTCCCGGCCCCGGAGGAGGCCCCCCTCTGTAGTAACTCTGGTTTAACCAGTTCATCCTCAGCATCTGAGAACATGGCATGTGTCCACAATCATTAAAGAGTGAACTAATCTGATTTTGATCATGGGAGAGCTAGAAGCACTAGTAAGGGCCCGTCCCTGTGAGGTACTGCGTGCCCTCGACTCACTGAGCCCAGCAGGAGCTAAGGAGGTGCTGCATCTCACCAGAACGGGATTCGGACCTGTCAGCTGTACATACTGCCTTCAAGAAATCAGTAGGTAGGTTGGTGAGGCCCCATCTTCTTCCCGCTGAAGCTGATGAGTAACTTGGTTTTCCTGGGAGCAGGATCGAGCCATCTGCCAAAGTCTGACGTGAAACCACAGCTAGAACGGAGCCTTCTGCGTTAGACTGGGGCTGTCACTTCTCTGTAGTCCTCGAGGCGACTGGCAAGATGTCTTTCAGTGCTGGGAAGAGGCAGGATACACCAAGCGGTTCTTCTCAACTGTCTCTTCACCGGGAAGCGCCTTGGCACTACCTACTGCCTCACAGCATTGGGATGAATTTTGTCAGAGGAGTCCCACAAGGCGGTGGAAGCCAACACAAACAAATTCAGTGAGCTATAACCACCAGCCTTTTCTGCCCTCCCGTGGTTAAAAGGATTATAAGGCTCTCTTTGTACACTACCGCAGTAACTATTGCTAGCAGGCTGATGTAGTGGCCTTTTATTACACACTCTACGAGTGCCTCTAACAACTTGTGCTATATAGAACCTTCTCCAGTGTCTGGGTCATTTCACCAACCTGGACTTTGTTTTATGTAGGTTCTTGTACCTAATATTTTAGGTACACATCTGTCCTTTCAATGTACAACATGTATTTTTATTTCCTTGGAACATCTTTATATTATTTAATTTTATAAAGTGGAGTAGTGTGTGGTGTAGAGTAGCATTTTTACTACTTCTCTCTTTATTTTTTTCCTCCCTAACAACACAACTACCTCATGTCTGTTGGAGAAAAAAAGCGGTAGATCTCCTCTTTTGTTATAGTCCATTATAGGTTTTAACTTATTCTTATACTGCCTTTTTCTAAAGAATATGTTTGCACTGGTTGTTGACTCTCTTTTAATGCACAGTGCTGCAGATCTGATGTCTCTCCTGGTTTGTTTCTAAGTGTTGCTGTAGCACACCCTCCCTGCAGCTGGAGAGTTGGGTTGTGTTTCTCTGTAGGGCTGTGTTTTGCAGGAGCTGACCAAAGGAGACTGCTTCAGCTGGCGGGATGTCGATCCATCTTTTTTTAAGCAGCTTATAATAGCGAAGAGAAAAAAGAACCAACAACTGCAAAATTAACTTGTGACCTCGGGGCAAAAAGGAACCAACAGTTGCAGAAGTAACTTGGGATCTTGGGGTTATCCATTTCTTTTTTTTTTTGTGCTCAAGTGGAGACATCTCAGATGATTTTGATGTCCAGAGAGCAGCGCTCAGCCTTCTGTAAGCAGTGGACTTGCCGAAGGCTTCAGATGAACAGGTGAAATTTTCCAGACACCTCTGAGAGTCCTGGCCAAAGTGCTTTTTACTTTGGGTTTTTTTTTTTAAAGACCAGAGCACCAACAGACCTTAAAAATTAAAATCAAATCCTCACTCTCAGACCAGTCGGTCTGGGTTTATTACAGATAACTTTGGCAAATCATCCAGTGACTCCTCCTTGCTGACACTGTTTGCTTACTGCTGACGTGTCTCAGCCTGGCCTTCTGGTGTTGGGTGAACTCTTCTCTACCTTCCCTTTAGCCTCTCTCTGCCCTGTTCCAGGCTTGCAGGGTTTGACTGGGAAGGCTACAGATTGGACCAGCTCCTCAGGGGTAATTCTGTTCACTGGGTGTTTGGTAAATGTTCTGCGTTCCTGGAGGATTCAGACATCTGGCCACGTTCATTAAAAAATGAGGGAAAAGATGCCCATCTCCCTCACTTTCCTACTAAAATTCCCTCAAAGCTATATGGGGAGCTGTGTGCTGACCTGAGATCCTCTAAAAGACTTCAGGCTTTGGTTTTTTGTGGTGAAATCTGGACTGAGATACTACTGCTTGCAGCAAGAACCTTGCTCCACCAGCACCCTATCCCCACTTCTGTTGTGAAGAGCCATGCCACAGTGTGCCCTGTGCTTGGACCTGGACCAGCCCGTGTCCTTGCAATCCTCCATCAAACCCCGTTAGCTCCAGCTCGTCACTAGAGGAGTACCTCCAAGCCTCCGTGTACCCCGTCAGGAAGGATATTGGAGCTTCCACCTCTCCCCATCCTGCGGCCTCTCCTCCCAGCACGACACGCTGTTCTGGTAAATGGCTGTATTTCCACCCGTGGCACTGGCTCTGTTGCTCCAGCTGCTGCTTGGTATCTTGAGGGAGTCTCAGAAATGCCGTGACTCTGAAAGGCTGTGGCACCCAGACTGGAAATCAGTGCCAGTGCGCAGGCTGGGCGGGAGCTGGTGTGTGCGCTACCAGAGTGAGGAGCTAGAAAGGCAAGAAGTCATAACTGGGCAGAGGAGGTGCATAAATAACCTCCAGAACTCACTGCCACAAGACTTTGAAACTAACGACTTAGCAGGGTTACAGATAAGGCAGTGAAGTGTTATTGCAGGCAATAGGGGCAATTCATAGTTCTATGGGAGTGGATGCAATCGCAGCGGTATAAACCCTCCAGCTGGGGAGTTGTTGGACACTAGCTGTGGAACAGGGGGGCAGATTTTTGCAGCTGGACCTCAGTTTGCAGTTAGTTTCATGGAAGAGTCCTCGCCATTCCCCGGTGACAGGACAGACCCTGCACACGCCACCTTGCTGCTGCTGATGTTGGAGAAGGATTCTTCTCCCTTTCTGCTCAAGCTTGCTCCAGAGGAAGCCCCGGTGACTCCCTTTCACCTCCAAAGCTAAGTCACCCGCCTGCGAGCAGGAGAGCGTGCCCAAGGACCACTTCTGCTGAGCGTCTTGGCTGCCAGAGGGCAGCGCCGGGAGGAGTTTGGCTAGCAGCGGGTATGGCCGGGCCACTGGAGTTCTCCTCTGGCTCCCTGTTGTGACACTGTACCTGGGACAGGTCACGGACCAGCCCTGAGCTTCCCATCTGGGGTGTGTGGGGTAGCGCTTAGTCCCAGTGCCTGACGGAGGTGTGTGCTGCAGTTTCTGGGGCGCTCCTTTGTTCATGCAGCCTCTGCTTTGTCTGTACTGACTTTAGCAATCACACAGCCACAGGGTGAGCATCGCTGATCTACCTAAAATCTGTCCCTGCCTGTCACTGAGGCCAGCGCAAGCAGGCAGAGTGTGGCACCATTCCCTGGGATCGCCTTGGGCCGATCACGAAACCACCAAGTTAGTTACGTGCTCTGAGAGCTCGGGGAGGAAGATGCAGCGGAGTGCAAACAGTTCTGCTTATGCATCACAAAAATATTTTGTCTCCTCATGCTGAGGCTTATTCTGATCTTGTTACAACCCACCAAACTGTACCGCAGCCTGAAACCGGCGCTGTTTGGATGTCCAAGTACTGCGGTGGCCGCAGACCGGTACGCCAGACCTCAGCTACAGCAATCGAGGCGGTTCCCTCGGAGCCGAGAGATCACCGCTGCCCGGCAGGCGCGAA